ATATTGTCTGTTGTAAAAATATCTTCCAACAAAGAAGAAATGGCTCATTTTGCAAAAAAAATTAACCAAGAGAATAGACATAGGTTATCATCGCACAATCAAGAATTTAATGTAGTTTTGGTATTTGGTTAAAAAAAACAAGAGGGCAACTTTTAACCTAGAAGCCTGTGCATGATGATAAAATCTAGGCATTTAAACATTTGGGTGGGAATACTTTCAATAGAGACTAATGTATGTTCAGTCATGGCCTTAGGAAGGCCTCTGGCATTCTTCACTCTACATTAGTCTGTGTAAGATTAGAAGATTATTTCTACACAAACTGCCCATATCTTGAGAGTATAATGGGCAGTTTGTTTAGAAATAATCTAACTTATAGAGTATAATCATCCTTGAACATTTTTATCCCATAACCTTTTTGTACCTGTAATGTGTAGGAAATGACAATTTACCTTTATTTTCTATCTAGCATGTTCTGAGGATAAATAAATACATAGAACAACAACAATAACACAAGCTTATTACTTTGCAGTCTTTTACCAAGAGTGTTCTTTTGTGGCTCTCTTTCATTTTCTTCTACCTGCCATATCAATGGTTATGCTGAGTTTCAATCAAATGCATTTTGTGCTGAAATAAAACATGTCTTTTCCAGAGTTTAAAAAAAAAAAAGAACATATATTTATTTGTAGGTTTATTTGTATCCTTGTTATAGTCGATTTATATCTTTAAGAGTTAAGGCAAATGAATGTTGTCTTCTCTTTTGGTACAAACTCATACTCTGTGCATTCAGAGAATTTATTTTCATGTGTTCAGAAGAGTTTATTTCATTATTTTATTAGGGGGAAATAATTGAACATAACAGTATTTTGAAGTAAAAAAGTTGTATTTAATGACCTTATCATATTGGATAAAGTTCAGTTAAGTTAGTTAACAGAGTAGTCTAAATCATTTCGTTTCTTGGAAAATTGGGAAAAAAGACACACAGGCCCATGGAAAGGATGGGTTGTCTGTAATGTGGGTGCTGAGGGACTAAGTCCCCTCAGAGGCCCAGGTCTTGACGTGTGTGCTTCTGTACTAAGGTCAGCAGGCAGGCAGGGGGCAGAGGCTCAGAGAAATGAAATTTGAGTCAAGGACACTTGATTTTGGATTCCTCTCTAAACCAAACCACCACAAAACATGCTGAAACCTGTCTCTCTTCATAAATTGAAAGTTACTTTCAAAGCCTGCCTTCAGGGGTTTGAGTGTTTGCACTGAGATCAGGAACTTTGGGGGTTGGTGGTCAGATCCACAGCTTTGCTTTGCCACCTCCTACTGGCCAGTTTCTAGATCTGTCATGTGGAAATATTAACCTTACTTAAAACCTGATATTTAAAAAGCTAACAGAAACCTGTAAACTTTACAATGCAAATGTTTAGAGAGCTTTAGTGGAAAGGCAGTTTCAAAACTCCAAATAGAACCAATAAAGCCTTATAGTCTAAGTTTCACAAAATGTTTTCTAAGCATTTCATATCTTCAATCTGATTTTTAAAATTATCTTTGCCTCCAATTCCCATATTTGAGTGTGTCACATAGAATTCACTGATAGGCAAAAAAAAAAAAGACTTGGGTTGTTTATTATAGAAAAACTCTTTAAAAAAAGAAGATTTAGAAAATGAATTACCAACATTATGAAGCATTTTGAAAGCAAGTGATTTTTTTGTCTTAATAGATGTCTTAATGCAACATTTTTAAGCTGTTGTTTCAGAAAAAGGAAAAAGGGCACTGGATTGCGCAGGAGGCCATGTGAGCTCTGACAAGACTCCGTTACCGTGGAGCAGAGCGGGCCCATGTCACCTGAGTCCCTTACCTCACTGTGTATCACACTGGGAATGACTAGCACACGCATAGCCGCCTCCTTTAAAAGTCTAATTACATGTTATCCACTAGGAAACCCATTCCAATTCATTAAAATAAAGGTCACCAAATTCGATTAGCAAATGAAGGGCAGTTAGTTCTCTTGGTATTTTGCACAATTCACCAGCATTGACACAAACATGCTAATCGTTGTACACTATAATATTAGAGTCCAAAGAGAGAAGGCAAAAATAATCGACTTTTGTCTAAAAGTGTATCAAAAGTTTAAAAATGTGGCTTGTAACATGCTTTAATTCATTATCTGTTGGATATTTTTTAAGATGTTGAAAGTGAAGAGAATTTTTTAACCACTGTTTCAGTTGAAGAACTTATGAAGCTGAGAAGAAAATGGATTATAGAATTAGATGAACCTGAGTTCAAATCTGAATTCAGTTACATATGATCTTGGACAGTTAAGTTCTCTGACACTCAATTTACTAATCTGGAAAATGGGGACAATACTTTGGAAAACTGCCTATGTCAGAAATAATCTAGGTAAATCACCTAGTACATAATAGGTGCTCAATAAATAGCTATAAGTAACATTTCAAGAATAAAAGTATTTTCACCTAATATCTAACTGGTATGCTAGGAATATCCAGCAAAACTTACAGAGATAATTGTGACCATCATCTGCTGTCTGACTATAAATGAATGCCCTGCCTGGGTGCTTATTTGATGGATGAACAAAGTCAAAGTAAATAAATATTTAGTCTAAGCAGTTACAGTGACAGAACATTCAGTGACAGTTCACTATGTATCAAAAAAGAAAAACAGCATTAGAGACCTCTTCAACGTTCAGCTCATCAAAATAGTTATATTAGCCGAAACTGGTTTGGCTCAGCGGGTAAAGCGTTGATCTGCGGACTGAAGGGTCCCAGGTTCAGTTCCAGTCAGGGGCATGTACATTGGTTGCGGGCACATCCCCGGTAGTGGGTGTGCAGGAGGCAGCTGGTCAATGTTTCTCTCTCATTGACGTTTCTGGTTCTCTATCCCTTTCCCTTCCTCTCTGTGGAAAATCAATAAAATGTATTTTAAAAAAATAGTTACATTAATTAGTAAGTCTACTAATTTTTATAATCAGCTGCATATTCAATCTATGTATATTAATTAGTATTTAATCTCCTTACATTTAATATTTTAAAAATTCTTACTGACCTAAGTTTTCATCAAGCATATGCTCTCTGTTAGCTTACATATGGTCATATCCATATCATTACTAGACATTTATTCTTACCCCTTTTTGCTATTTATATGCCAGCACTTTTCTTACATTAATCAATTTTAAACTTGTGTGTTTTGATACTCCCAACACTGGGAATCCGGATCCACTGTTTCACACAGATGTGAAGAATAAGAAAATACATGTTTAAGACTACATAAAATAAGTCTACACTTGACATCCAGATGAAACAAAAATATAAATAAATGTTTGTCTTTACATATAAACTTAAATACATCATTAATAAAATACATACACTTTTCAATATGAACTGAGACCTGAAACAAAGTAAGTTGAGGTAAGGGATATCAAAATTTGAAGATATAATACAACAAGACTAACAATTCTCATAAAAATGATTGAAGATATGCTTAATAAATATTTAAAATAGTTTCTTATTTCATTTAACTTTAATCTGATAAGTGTATACTATTAAATTTCCATTTGTGTGGAATTATCTAAAAAGGAATATGAGTAATTGAAAAGCTAGAAGCCCGTTTGTAATAAGTATCCTGTTAAACACAAAACATAGTTTCATGAAATTTCTTAGGTTAATAATACCAAGAAGACACTAATGGTTTCAATTATCTTCTCCGCCTCATATTCTTTTGAGCAAAAGAGGCCAATGAATAGTTCTGCATTAAATACTGACAACAAAACAACACGGACATGAGTTGTGGAGGATGGCAGGTGCAGGTAGTGACATTAAGAAGAAACACTTGATCTATCAGTAGCGACACCGGTTACAGTGCCGTCCCAGCAAGGCGGTACAATACGGTCTATACATGCCTGTACAGCAGCTTATTATTAAAAGCCTCAGCAGTTTTCTCATTTTCTGAAACACTCTGGTTTTTAAAGCCCATTATTTTCATATTTGAATTTTGTCTCAACAACCACCTTTTATTTTCTCCCTGTCATTTCCCATAAATCTCCCAGATCATTAGTGCTGTGTTTTGAGTATTCTTTCTAATGTTTTCATGGCCAAGTTTTCTGATGTCTCGATAAATTTCCCTCTTGAGTGCTCCTTTACATTTTAAAAAATAATTTCTGAGGAATCTATTGCACAAAATGCAGTTCTTTCTAATGTGTCTGCTTTTAAATAGATTTGTCTCCATTAATAGTGGATGAAAAGATACAATAAATTTGGGATCAAAAACTTAATGTCAATGCTAAAAATAATGGTTTAGTTCTACAAGAAAACTGTAAAACAATATCAAGATAAATAATTCTGGAAATCAGGTTTTTAAGCTTTTTTTTTATTAGAAAACTTAAATTATTACCCTTTTTAAAAAGGGAGTAGTCAATATCCATTTTTTAATTTTCTCAAATAATAATAAATGATAGCAAACTAGGATAAGAAAACACATTAGAAGACAGCTTTCTACTTCATACAACTTCTGGTTACCTCTTCCTACCCATTCACCTATTTCTGGTCAGCAGCAAGAACAGAAAATCCATTTATCTTCGCCTTTTGGGGTTTTCCATGATGAGCTTCATTTACCTGAATACAAACAAAAGCTAGGGGACACAGATTTTATATTGCATAAGCCAAGAACCTGGCTCACGAGCCAGGATGCCCTGCCTTCTATGGCTTCTGTAGTTTAGAGTCCAATGGCTACATGACCAACCGAAAGTTGAAGGTATTCGAAATGACACAGATTGACGACAGATAACGGAAACACATGGAATCCCCGGGGCTGTTGTTTTTCCCTTAGTAGACAGATCCCTAGCCTTATGTAAATAAAATTATAAATACTAAAGAAATGATGAGAGTTTCACAATGGGGAAAGAGGATCATTTCTTATCATAATAAATATTTTGGTATAAATTTTTAAAAAACGTAGAAAAGCTTAGTACCTCTGGGTACTTTTTTCTAAGAAAACCATACCTGCTTCAGAACTTGTTTGATTATAGCTGCTAACAATGCTGTTTGGTATCACTGGAGTGGAGGACGTTGAAAGTCTTGACTGAGGTGGATTGGGATGTAACGAGTTTCCTAAAGCCATGCCCGACTGACTGAGCATCCCACAGTTCCCGCTAGCCTGAATCTGATTTATCAAACCTGCGAGGTGGTGGTTGGGGACTGAACTGTTACTGTGGACAAAGTTAGTGTTTGCGTTGTGGCAGTGCACGGCTTCCCCTCGGATAGGGATGTTCTGTGTCAGAGAATTCTGGAGAACACTGGCGTTCATACTGGGATCTGTAAAATGCAGCTGGTTAGCAGAGCAAGGCAAAGCAGTATTTGAGGCCCCACAACCCGGGGTACTATTGCTACTCAAGTGAGAGCTTTGACAACTCATAGACTGTAGTAACTGAGACATGGAACTGATGGGGAAAGAACCCTGACTCTGCTTCCTCAGCAAGTCGGGTCCCGGTTTAGGAACTGGAGAACTATCCATTTGAGACTGTCTGAGCAAACTCAAAACTGTGGTAGGAGGCTGTTTTCTTTTCCGCAACGAGTCTTTCTGCTGAGACATCAGCTTATCTCTTAGCGCTGCTCGACCACTTTGCCCTTCACCTGTGGGGAGAAGCATGTTGGCAGTAGGAGGGAACATGGTGTTTAAAGTGCTATGTCCTTCAGTGTTGCCACTGCCAGCAACAGCTCCGGAATTGCTACTGCTGCTACTGTTGTTGCTAGCAAGTTTGTTTTGATTTGCTAGCTGTGCTTTGGCTGCTGCTGAGAGTAAACTACTTGCTGGAAAGGAGGCAGCATTGTGCTGGTTCAAAATCTGATTTAAAGGCATTCCCAGCAAACCAGGCTGACTCTTTACAGAACCACTTCCGGCAGACGCAGCAGGAAAAGCTGCACTGCTTGGGGTAGTTAGTACATTACTCATTCCAGCAATTAACGGGTTAGGGATGTCCTTGTACTGATGATGTCCATCGGACTTGGTGGAAGGGCTGGATGGCATTGATGGCCGTGGGGACCCTATTGTTGACCTTGGTGACCTGGGTGGAACCTTAATACCACTGCAAGCGGCTTGGGGTCCTAGAGGTGGCATCATGAAATTTCCATGATCGGATGATGTGGAAGATGAGCGTGATCTTTGGGGCGATGCCTCAATCCTTCCGATTCCAGCCCCCATCATGTGCACTGGGGATGTCACTGGAGAAGGGGACAGGGAGGTTGAAGCTGAATGCTGAACTCTTTGAACATGACTCCCATGATTCATGTGACCAGGTTTTACGGTTGGCAAAGGGAGATTACTTGGCAAAGGAACAACAGCAGGAGGCATGCTTACATTCATCACAGGTACCTGAGAGTGGACATTTGAATGGAAACTAGTTGGATTAATGATAACAGGGTTCTGATTCGCCGGTTTACTAGGAATAGGGTCAAGAATGCCAAGTGGATCTTTCTCAGATGTTAATGGCTTTTTCTGAAGAGCACAAGAAGGTGGAGGAGGGGGAGGTGGGCCTTGGGGTAGTTTGTGGTGGAACATTGCTCGTGGTATTTCCATATTATTTGAAAAATTACACATTGGTTTTTTCATTACTGGACTCTTTGTAGTCAAGGTTGGGGAGAGAGGTATATTAGTCCTTCCAGCCATTGCACAGGATGACTGTACAGGAGAACCGTGTAGCATTACTGAAGGTGGAGAGAGAGGAGTCCTATTCAGGTGAATAGGACTGGAATTGGGAGCTCCATGAAAACCAGGATTATTCCTTGTGAAAACATCAGGGCTTCCAAGTGGGTCAGTCCTCGGAGAGATTGAGCCATCTCCATAAATCTGGGATCCTGACGATGCTGGGCTGGGCAGGCCTCCATGGCTGCCACGGAATGGAGATTTCTGTCCATGTTCACTGCTGCCCAATCTTTGCCGGGGGTAGACAGGGTGGAGTTCTTGTTGCTGGCTTCCAGGCAGTTCTTGCACATAGAGCCTTCCCATGGCATTTGATGATCCAATCATTAACTTGAAAGGATTCTTACATTCAGGCATTACAGAATTTGTAATTCCTTCATGAGACTTATTTCTTATGGATCTTGGAGTTGCTGCCCGTGAAGGTACTACTGGAGTTGCATCTGTTGTGAAAGAAACAGAAAAAAATCTGTTAAGTCATCTCAGTTCTTTTGTATTTTGGGGTGGGGGATGAGGAGGGAGGAAATGAGGAAGGAAGGGCACCTGGAAATAGAAATTTGCAAATAGAAGCCATGCCTCTATGCCACTAGAAATTCTCTACTCTACATTAAATTTTGATTTAAAAAGTGCACATTATTCTCCCTTAGTTGGCCAAAGGTCCTCAATTAACTGCTCATTATGTTTGTTTGCCTCTTATCTGTTGAGAAAGAATGAAAATCTGAATCAGTTCATACTGACATTAGCCATTCTAATAATATTTAGAATATGCAAAATCAAGATTGACAGCCCACAAAGAAGTGATGATGTTACTCTCTTGTTGAATTTGAAATTTTTAGGAACACAGTTACAATAGAAAATTATTATCTGTGTGGCATATTTTCTTGGGTGATTTAAATGAATTGCCATCTTTACCAGAAAATCTGTTGCCCTATAAATGTTTCTGTTATCTTACTGAAACCTCATCAGGACAGCTAAAGAAATGCTTCTTTATCCCAAGATTTCCACTGTAAGAGTAAAAGTCTTCATTTTTGTGAATTAAATGAATGGAGTTCAGAATCTTTTATAATGGGAGCGATAACAATGGTAAATGTAGTGATACTGCAATCATGCCTAACTCCCCATCAATTCTATAACACTGCCGTTTCTTTGAAATTAACCAGTCATTACTGTAAAAACCTTAGTCAGTCAACTCAGGTAAAAGGCTGCAATTCTCTTATTAGGTCAGAATTCCTAAGAAACATTTAGACTGCTAAATCTTTAGTGCTGAGTTCTAACTGTAATTCCTCTTTTTACAGAGTGAAACTCTCCCTCACTGGCCTTTGGGGTCCCTTCAGTCCTTTTGTAGATCAACAGAATACAGGCAACAAAAGCAAGCTGGCCCACTGGACTGAGCTTTCATATTATCTTGTCAGAATTCTAGGTTCAAGTTTTTTAGCCCCGAAGGATGTTTTAACTATTTTGTAAAGTTGTACCTTGTAAAACAGGGATGGCAAATAAAATTGATTTCCTAGGCCAAGTCCTATCAACTGGTGGTGGCTACTTAGAGTGCTTTGAGGGAAAGGATGCTGAGCCTTGCTGGGCTCTGTAGAAAATGCCACTGAGTCTATTACAGGCACAGGGGCTGAGAGTGGCCTCATTCATACTATATGCTGGCCATCCCCATTCTGAGACTTACAACATATTGGCAAGTACACCTGGATTCACTTGCAATCAGAAATATATTTACTTACATGGATACTTGTACATCTAAGATAAATATACTTCTCCTATCTGCTAGGTAATATACAGATCAAATCAGATAAGTTTTTTTTTTAGATAGTGGTTCTTAATTGGGGGTACACAGAAAGCCAGGTAAGGTGCATTCAAGAAGTAAGAAAATGCAGGGGAGAAACCAAGATGGCAGCATAGGTAAACACCTGAACTTGTTACCTCACACAACAACTTCAAAACTATAACTGAAAGACAAAATGGACATCATCCAGAACCATAGGAAGGCTGGATATAAGTGGAAATTCTACAATTAGAAGGGAAGAGAAAAGCACTCTGAGACTCAGAGGGGCTGCGGAAGTAAAGTGCAGAGGTATGGAGGAGCATCCGTGGAGACGGGAGGCAACTAAGTATGTGGCTGGGTTTTTCAACCTGGAGGGAGACACACGCTTCCAACTGCTCTGAACTCCAGTTCCAGGTGAGACTCAGACTCATACGGGGAGAAACTGGACTGTCTGGCAGTGGGCAGAACTCGAGAGCAGCTTTCTCTTAGAGGTGCTTGCAGTGATTACCAGGGGCCAGTGAGATCCAGGGGCCTCTTAGGGCAGGGCTGACAGGAAGCCATTGCTATTTGCTCTGCCCTGAGACTCCACCCCATCTAAGCTGTGCACAGAGGCTTTTGCATATGAATGGCCTGGTCCTTTGAAATCTAAACTTACCTAACAAACTGCAGCTGAGTCAGAGAGACCCAGAACATCCAAAAGAAGGCCCAAGGCCCCATAGTAGTTTGCATTGCTTCACAGCTGGGCCTCATCTGGGCACCTCCAAAACCCAAACAAAGAAGTGGAATCTACAGATCTCTCCATAGCTCCTGCTGGGTAGCCTCAGGCATAGGCTAACTTAGCATCTCCTTGGAGATCCAAGAGCCAGTGTACCCAGGGGTCAGAGTAGGACCATCCAGATTACAACTCCTCAGATCCATAAGGGACACACTCAGGGGGCAGACTCAATGAGCACTAAAGCCCCATTGAAGCAAGTCTTGCCTCATAAAGATGTCTCCAGCACTGAAGTTCTCCCATTGTAGACACAGCTGATCCTCACACCCAGTTGGCTTGGAGGTCAGTTCCTCCCAGTGATACCAACAACAAGAAAGGCTTAACTGCAACAAGACTGCACACAGCCCACAAAGGGGTGCACCAAGAGTGTCCACCTCAGGTAACTGGGGAGGCTGAGCCATTGTGCCCTACAGGACACCTCTATCAACTCAGGGAAGCAGCCAAAATGTGGAGACAAAGAAAGAGGTCACAAATGAAAGAAATGGAGGAAAGCAAATGACTGGATATAGAGTTCAAAACCACAGTTATAAGGTTTTTCAAGAATCTACTAAAAACCTCTGATAAATTTAGTGAGACCCTTGAGGATATATGAAAAAGAACCAACTATAAATTAAGCATACACTGACTGAAATAAAAAATAATATACAGAGATCCAACAGCAAACAAGAGGGTTGTAAGAATCAAGTCAAATATTTGAAATACAAAGAAGCAAGAAACACTAAACTGGAAAAGCAAAAGGCAAAAAGAATACAAAAATATGTAGATAGTGTAAGGAGCCTCAAGTGTACCAACATCAGAATTATGGGGGTGCCAGAAGAAGAGAGAGAACAAGATATTGAAACCTATTTGAAGAAAACTTCCCCCACCTGGTGAAAGAAATAGATTTACAAGTCCAGGAAGCTCAGAGAACCCCTAACAAAAGGAATCCAAAGAGGGCCACACCAGGACACAATTTAATTAAAATGCCAAGAGCAAAAAAAGAAAGAATATTAAAAGCAGCAAGAGAAAAAGTTAGTTACCTACAAGGGAGCACTGATATAATTGTTAGCTGATTTCTCAACAGAAACTATGCAGGCCAGATGGGAGTGGCAAGAAATACTTAAAGTGATGAATAGCAAGAACCCACAACCAAGATTACTCTACCCAGCAAAGCTATCATTCAGAATTGAAGGTCAGATAAAGAGCTTCACAGACAAGAAAAAGCTAAAGGAGTACATCATCACCAAACCAGTATTATATGAAATGCTGAAAGAAGAGCAAGAAGAAGAAAAAGGTAAAGATAAAAATTATGAATAACAAATACCTATCTATCAACAAGTGAATCTAAAAATCAAATCAATAAAAAATCTGATGAGCAGAATAAACTGGTGAATATAACAGAATTAGAGCCATAGTAAGGGAGTGGACTGATAATTCTCAGGAGTAAAGGGGGGTGGGGAGTGCAGGAAGAGATTGGACAAAAATCGTACACCTATGGATGAGGACAGTGTGGGGAGGGGGTAAGGGCAGAAGGTGAGGTGGGAACCGGGTGGAAGGGAGCTGTGGGGAGGGAAAGAGGAACAATTGTAATAATCTGAATAATAAAGATTTATTAAAGAAGTAAGAGAATGCAGTGAACATATATTTTTCTTTGGAAATGTGGGCTTTCTGTTTCTAGCATGGTGAAGATTCTGGATAGAATAATTTCTGAATATAATATATGAAAAGTTGAGAATCAATGATATAAGAATTGTAGCAGATAAACTCAACTGAACTTACTTTCTTGTTAAAAAGAAATTTTCAAAGTTTGCAATAAAAATAATATATGAAAAGTAGTTGGGATACTAGGTGTGGCTCATGTTGGGAACGCAGGTACCTATATGAGCCTTATTACAGGATTGACTGTGTTCTCTTCGGGAACAAAACTACAGACTTGTTTCTTTTCTTGGGTATTTCTATAATTTACAGTTAAGTGATTAAAAATGTAGACATTGGCATTTTTAAATATACAACAGACAGAAAAAATATATACAACAGAATTTAGAAAATAGCTGTGGTTTAAAAAGGATTTCTTCCATACCTGGGGAAACATAGTTATCATCTTTAAAATAATATGAATACTAAACAAACAAACAAACAAATGTCATGCTGCTGTTATGATACATTTAGGAACTAAAGTATTAGAAGAGTTGGCAAATATAAATGCTAGCTACCCATCAAGGGCTTTCATGGAGACCTTTCAAAAAAATAAGCAGGAACTAAATGTATGTTTATGTATGTTAGAGGTGAAAATTACTATATGAGTCTTCTTAACACTGAAGGTTGAGCTTTAAATAATTAAATGTTTAGATATCAATTTTATAAAATTAGTAAGTTGATATAATGTTATGTGTGAAGCTAGTAATAGAGGCAATTAATCCAATAAAGTATACCACTGTAAGAGTGGATGGAGATATGCCTGTTTTACCTGCTCCACTTAAATACTTATCTTTATTTTTTAATAATGAAACTTGTTAAGATACAAAAAGTTTAGAACCAAAGCAAAACTCTGTTAAGGTCATTAAAAGAGGCAGCAAGGCAGAATGTAGAAAGAGGTAAAGTTGTTTGATCTGAGCATATGCAAAAGCGAAACCATACTTATGTCAAGGTGGCAAGATATTGGTAAATGTTAAATAATTTATTATTATTAAATGTCTTTAAACTATGGCAATATTTTTTTAGTTAAAAAAAATGTAGCTCATCAAAAGAAAAAAAACAATCCCTTAGATTGGTTTTTCTTACATACCTTAGTGGAGCAATGTTTTTCTGATCATCCCTGTTCAAGCTTAAAGGTTAGAGGTTACTGGAAAAGAGCTTTCTGGTCACAGCTGCTGAATTATCTCCCTGCCCTCTTCACATGAGTGCTAAGTGTTAATCTTTACCTGTCCAATGTCACAACTGCTCCTCTTTGTAAACAAGTCCATAATTTGACCCCAACTTACTTAGGTAGGCTCAGTCTTTCCTTCAAGTCAGATTAGCTTTCACATTATCGATTCTACTCATTCTGGACAAGAATTGTCGTATTTCCCTCATATTTCTAAATCCTACAAATTTCCAGGTTGGTTCAAATCTGAGTTCGGCCGTAAAGCCTTCTCTGATCACTATAGGGGACACTCGTCATCTATATTCAGAGCTCTGCAGAACTTCACTAATCCTTTATAAACAAACACTTTGGCACTTAGTCACATTTTATTCTGAATTACTATTCAAGTGTTAGGTAGATTTAATTTTTTGAAGGGAGTTTATATTCTAGCCCTTACAAAAAGTTCTCCAGTCTCAAATCATGATTCCACAGATTACATATTAACCTTAAAGGAAAAAGGTGCCTTAACAATGGAATGATCAGATGGATATAACTATAACCAAGTCATCAAACTTGATGTCATCAATATGGGATAAATTGACATTATGTGCCTCCTGAGGAGGACATAACAACACCTGTGCAGCATTCCTAGAAAAAATTGTTTAACTTGAATATAAATGAGGAAACAATCAGGCAAAAGCAAATTGAAGAAAATCCTATTAACACTGACCCGGACTCTTCAACAATGTCAGTGCCATGAAAGAACTAAAGATGGGGAACTGATACAGATTAAAGAAATGGAACAACTAATTGCAGTGCACAATCTCTGATTGCATTCTGGATTTAAAAAATCCGGATTAAAAAATAATTATAAGAAAGCATTAGGACAAGAGGAGAAATTTGAATACAGACTACATATTAGATAATATTGTACCATATTTTATCAGTGTTAAATTTCCTAAATGTGACAATTAGATTTTTGGTTTATGAGGAGAATGTCTGTGTGTGTTCAACTACTTAGTAGTCAATTTTTATGACATCTGCAATTTCTAAAACAAAATTGTTAATTGGTGAATGTAGATGAAGGGTACATGGTACTCAATAAACTGTTCATGCAATTTTTCTGAAAATTAAAAAACTATGAAAGCATGCATTCATGCATACAGGTTTGTTGGGGGAGGTATGAAAAGTTCCTAAAAAGGTAAGATCTACTAGTAGGTGCTCAATAAATAACTATAAAATGACAGAAAAAAATAACACTGCTAATTCTTGAAAATATTATTAGTTGCATTTGAGGACTTGATACCACACATTAAAGTACAGCCCTAAGAAAAAGCCTACTTCTGATTCCCCAAAATCTGTGTCACTTTCTCTTTCCTTAGCCCAGCTCCATACCCCCATCAGATGTGTATGTGCTAATCAGTCTTTAGTCTAATTGTTTACTAGATGATTTGGATGGGACACTTTGGGAAACGACTTCATGGGGATTTTCCAGAACGAGTTTGCTACTTGTAATAAAATGATGAAACATTCATGACTTTGAAAGCATTGTGCATGTGTGAAAAGTGGACCTGGAAAATGCTTGGCAAAGTGATCCCCTATGACTCCGCTAGGAGAGGCAGGTGGCGGGGGAGGGCGGGGGATATGTACGTACTTGTTCCTCCTCCGGGACTGGTGAGCACCAGAGAAGGATGTGGGGCTTCCATGCTTTTGTGAAGTGTGGCCACTGCGATGATTTTCCTCTTATGTATGCATAGCTTTGTGACATCTTCATCAGCTTTCACATCTTCTGCAGTTCTCTGCTTCACAGCAGCTCCAGGGTCAAAATTAAACACCTGGAAAAAAGAACGGCCTCGGTTTAGAGCATGTCTTAAAAGCAGAACATAAAAAGTTGCTTTGTTAAAACATTTTTCTTTACATAGATTAGGCCATCAACATGAATAAAACTTCCTCAAGTTATTTAAGAAAAGCAACTTGATGTAACTTCATAGTACTTCTGCTGAACTCATGGCTTTTAGTGGCACAGTAAATAATGAAAATTATCCTAATTCCATGATAGCCAAGATTAAAAATATATGCAAAGGTATAGAATCTATGTTCTCTGATGTTATATTTCCTGATGTTATAACAGTACAAAAATAGATGGAGTTCATTTTAAAAATCCAAAAGATGACATTTCTATGAGCTAACTTTTCCTTTGGCTTTATTTTATTACTATATTAATATTATCTTTTCACCTATTAAAATCTATTTTTTTAAAATAATCTTATTTATTGTGTACATATTTATGAGATGCTTCAAATGCTTTTTTCTTTTTTGGAATGAGGTGAAGGTGACACAAATAAAAAGAAAAAAGGTGTCTGTTAATCTTATTCTAAGATTAGCACTATAATAGATACTCAGAGAATAAGAACCTGCTTCCATAATAAATAATATTTTATCATTTTAAACAGTTTTTACTTTCTAACTTGCAAAGGAGTAAAACAGTTTCACATTTTGAGTGGGAAGGTGCAGTTCAGCTTCATGATTTCAGAAGCATTGGTGGCAGACTTATCAACATCAGCGCTAAAAATAACATTGCAGATTGAGCAGTTATAGGAGGGGAAAAACTACTGCACCATTAAATGGTGAACATAGGTAGAGCTCTAATAAAATGTGCAAAAAAGGCTTTCATAAAATATTTAATATGAATTTAGGTTTGTCACCTTTGAAAATGACTCTGAGATTTGAACCACTTTCCAGTCGTTAAGCATTCCAAAATACATGCAAAAGATACCTAATTAGATAGACTTTAAAATGCATATGTGATTGGAGAAGTAATATAAAAACGAAATGCCAAATGAGAAAAGCAAATACACGAAACACCTAGAAAATAGGAAACTGCTGATAAAAGTGTTGTGAAATGGTTACCTTGGGAAGAATAAGAGGACATTCCAAGCCACACTTGCATGTTCCGTCAGTAAGCAGGTATGTTTTAACCTGCTCCAAGCAAGATAACAAAGACCCACTGGGACTGTAAAAATAGTTCAAAAAAGCATCAGGAAATAATTCTGACTGCACATATCATATGAAAAAAGGCATAATTTATAGTCTTACTGTCCTTCACGGAGTAATATTTTCTTACCAGGGAAAAGCATTCTCTTTGTCAATATTATGCTAGCTGCTAAATTATAGCCTCTTAGCACTATCGCTCTTTCTTTTGAACCAAAGTATTTCTCAGAAAAAGACATCTTCCTAGAAAATTAAATAAAAGTATTTGGAAAACCAAGCGTGGACTAGGATGGGGGAAAATGCTATTCTTAAGAAAAGACGACAGGAGCAGGCAAGAAAGGAACAAGAAAACAACATGAAAGTAATCATTATCATTTTAAACCAGAAGATCTACTTTTGAAGCTGTCTGAGGGAAAAGTGAAATTTAGGCACACATTGGAGGTCAAACCAGAAAGTCACTAAGTGTATAAAAGTTGGAGCCAGCAAGTTCTTTCCTTTAATCTTGGAGTCCAGAACCAAGTCGTCCCTATGTAAAAATAGGTTTCTTATTTTTCTCCTTCATCCATGTGTTTCTTTGAAGATAGACCTGTGTGGCCCAACGCAAATTACACCAAAGAGCCAAATGGTACGGACAAGGAGAGAGGAGCCCAGCAGATCTGACTGAGGACGAGGGGACGCTTGAGGAAAGAGGACTTCAGGTGGCAGAAGTGAGTGCCATGCAGGTCTTCTGGCTGGTAAATGAGTACTGCCCTCAAGGTTATTACTCTTGGGTTTTATTTATTTATTTATTTATTTATTTATTTATTTAATTTTCCTTTATTTTCATTTACTAATATAGTGTGGGTTAGTTTAAAATGGGCAATTTGCCCATTTATTATTAAAATTTATTATTAAAATATCGATTTTTACAACCTTGGAAATTATTACATACTTTTCATTCAAGAATAGTCTTTTATTTATAACTGTTTACCAAAACCTTCACTTACACTTCCTGATCAAATATGGATTTGGCCAGAAATAATACAAAGGATTACACTACTAGGGGTAGACTTCCTGCTTCTACAAAAACACAGGGAGAAGTTTTGCATGTACAAATGAACCAACTTTAAATGCAATTCATGTTTTATTTATGGACAATCATGGAAGTGACTTATGCATGTAGAAAATCTCAATTAAAATCCTCAACTTTGCCAATTCACTCACTCATTTATTGAGGCTAACGAAGTTTTTCAAATGATCTGTAAAAAATAATAACTCCCATATTATCGACATGAGTTCCATGACAGTGGTAATGATCAGAGGTTGGGGGTGTGGTGGCTGCTAATTTACATAAAACACGATCACCAAACAGTTATCATGTGTAAAGTTCATGAGTTTTGTGACAAGAAACTGCCTAACATTTTACAGTTAAAGAAGGTGTGTACAGACTGAATCCTAGAGGAATTTAATTATAAAATTAAACCTGAAGACAAGAGTTCCTGAATTCTACTGGAGTATTCCACTCTAGACACTTCAAAAACACTTCCTCTCAGTCAGTCAGCTGGGCTCTTTTCTTCAGCTGTACCTCTTTAATTAACTTTTTGGAGTAATAATTAACGTAGAAAACAGCTACAAGTCTTAGGGCATGGATAACGCTTAGAAGATTGGAAGCAGGTGGGAAATTTAATGTGCAGCCTCAACACCTCCCTGAGGCAGGAGCAGCTGGAGACAAAGCTAAAAATTACAAGCAGACAGCACATTGAGAGGGGAGCTGTACGAGGGGAGCCCCTTCTATGTGTCCAAGCAGTAACTTAACTCCTTACAAACAAATCAAACCCACACTGGCTTAATTTATCTGAAGGTGTTTCTGGCAGTTTGTTAACAGCACCGGCTAGAGGAACACTTGAGAAAGTGACCCAAGTGTCCGACTTTACAAGACAAGCTCCACATCCCCTGCTTTCTCATTCCTCCACTCCTCTTATTACAGAGCACGTCGTGAGCATCCCAGAAACAAAAGAACACCGTGCCAGAGCGTTTCAATTGGTAATTAGGCTTACCTCCAGAAACACCTTATGTCAAACAAACGCAGGACAGACTCTGAACTAAATTTTGAGTTGTTATGGCATGAAATAATTTATGTTTATATAACAGCGAATACCTCATTCATATAAATACATCTTTGAACAAATGGAGAATTCTGTTGAAGCAGAGACACAAATAACTGCACTTAAAGTAACAGTATTAGTATCATGATGCGACTTGATAACTTTTAAAAAGTTCTATTTCCAATAGTCGTTCATTACATAACAAAGAGATTTTAGGGTGTCCTAACTTTTCATATACTACTGATAAACTGCTAACTAAGGAACTTAGGTGTCAATTATCTATAATAATAAAAGTGTAATATTCTAATTAGACTGGACGTTGGTGGCTGCCAGGGAATTCCAGGTCCCAGGTGCTAGAGGGAAGCTAGTGCTGGAAGTCCTACTCTTGCATGAATTTCATGCATTGGGCCTCTAGTTTAATAAGACTGAAACTTCAATAGTTCAGTTATTACATTCAACTTGTTCTATAAGAGATACTTGATCTCAAAACTCTATTGAGTTTTTATCTTATTTGTATGATTTTTAAAAAAATATATTTTATTGATTTTGTACAGAGAGGAAGGGAGAGAGATAGAGAGCTAGAAACATCGATGAGAGAGAGTCATCGATCAGCTGCCTCTTGCACACCCCCTACTGGTGATGTGCCCGCAGCCAAGGCACATGCCCCTGACCGGAATCGAACCTGGGTCCCTCAGTCCCCAAGCCGACGCTCCATCCATTGAGCCAAACCGGTCTCAGCTATTTGTATGATTTTTACGTGAGAGAAGAAGAGCCATCTCCATTGTGGCCTTTTCGCTTTTACTATAATATGCAAGGATGTAGATTAAAAATGGTGCAGGAAAAATAGGAAAATTATTTTTACCTAATATCATTAAGAAGTCTACTAATTAAAACTGCCTATAAACACTCCACCTTACTTCGGAGAACCGAGCTGAAGCACTCTGAAGGACAGAATAATATTGTCGAGGGACCTTGGGTCTATTTCTAGTATTTACATTCCCTGGTGAATGTGGTAACAATGTCTACGTTTCTTTTAGAAATCTTCATTTTTCTTTATCCTTGTTACAGAGATAAGCAGAACAACACGTTATATAAACACAAGTAATGCGAGAAAACTCTCTCTTGTAACCTAAGGCAATTCTACATCGCAAAATAGGGCAGAATAGAAACATTTGAGTGTTTCCAGCACAAAGATCATTTATTCAAATTTATTGGAGGTGCTGTCAAGTCACAGTATTTTGCTCCCTCAGAGGAACAGGCTCTACTTCCTTAATTTTGGAACGGCAACTTGGAGGTAACATAGGGAATAGTAAGGGCTCACCTGACGTAAAGCACTCCATTGTGGTCCACCCGGCGCTGCCAACCCACAGGAACTTGAATAGCTGGAAGACCTCCGTCCTTGTCGCCTCCGTCACACTCCTTGCCTCCATTCATTTTCTGTGTCTGCTTGGGACTCTCCAAAGATATCAGCAAGCAGACGATGTCCTTATATTACAGGGCATGGTGGCCTTCAAAAACGGCCAGTGCAGCATAGTTGTTCCCAGACTGTACAAAACGCATGGGCATGCTCCGGCTCAGTTTGGAACCAAGTCCTTGAAATCTGCCATTGTGGAAAAAATCAGTCTCCCATTATAATCTACATTAAATAACCAATATTTGTGTTCCTAAGGATGGTCTACATGGGTAAAGCGGAGTGCTTCTGGCTAAGGAAAATCATATTCACCAATGCTGGTCACCTGTCTGAAGGGGAGAGGGGAGGAGGATAAAGTTTTTAGTTCGACATTTTGTCTTGAACCTTGACGTTGGACTAAAATAATCTCTACTGTTTAGAAACCGGTCTCATTTTTACAATGTGAGTCCGTTAATATTTCTAGGGACTACCCGCCTTTATAGGCCACATTCTTTAAACTTTCTCTTCATCTTCCAATCTGAATCCAAGATGCTGCAGGTTGGTTCATCTGATGTTTTCATGTCTTCAAAATTCCAACAATGTAGCCTGAAACATATATAAACATATTAACTGTATAATAAATGTTACAAAACTAAGTACCTGTACACTTTTATAAGTAGAATAAACTGCTAAGTTACTAAACCACTTTGATGCCCCCTGGCATCAAAATCACAAACAAATTCAACTTATTTTCTTCTTCTAATGATCCACTTAAACCAATTTTCTTGCTCTTCACCACATGAAACTTTCTAATTACTAGAGGCCGACCCATAATTATGGCATCACACACACACACACACACACACACACACACACTCCTTTAACTCACAATAAAAATATATCTCTCAAAACCTCTTATGACTTGACAACTGGAAAGTTATATGTTAATCTAATCACAATTGATCACTTTACATATCCTTATAATTTTCTTTTTTAATCACATTGGCCTAAAGAACAAAACGTTCCTATTTTTAAAAGAAATATACAGAGGAAATAAACTTCTAGTACATTTCCAAATATAAGAGAAGGTTTCCCCCACACTGTTCTTGAATCCAAGAGTGGAAGTTGCTTTATAGTTAGGAGTTAAAGCTCCCTTCTATTACGGGGTATGCTCTCTTAAGTTCTTTATTGTGTCACAAGGTACTGTTGGGGGAGGACGTATCAGCTTGAACCAGCAGGAATCGCTGCTGGTATAGAATGCTTGTAAGAGGTCATCTTAAAGGATCTGTTAAGTAAAAAAAATGTTGACAAATACATTTAAAAACAGATTTAGTACATAATCCTTGCAAAGATTGTATGTCATAGTTGCTGGCTTATTTGTTGTGGTAAACAAGACTTTTTATAAACAACTTCATATATAGTGTATAATTACATTATGAGACACATGAAACTACACTAAAAAGTGAATGAAAAAAATGTTCTCATATTATATGAGAGGGACTTGTGGTCTGTGATAAAAATTTCCAGGGGCAGCATCACCGACAGATTAAAAAAGTGTTATGTCTCTAATAACTTAATGAAAGCCAGGTGATATGCTCCAGAAAGCTATGTTAAATGACTTAAGATTCACATGGAAGTACTAAAGCTGTTTCAAAAAAATTAAATTAAAAAGTCAATATTTTAGCCCTGGTCAGTGTGGTTTGGTTGGTTGGAGCATTGTCCTATGCACCAGAAAGTGGTGGGTTCAATTCCCATTCAGGCACATACCCAGGTTGTGAGTTTGATCCCCAGTTGGGGTGTGTGAAGGAGGCAGCCAATCAATGTTTCTCTTTCATACCAATGTTTCTCTCTCTCTCCCTTCCTCTCTCTCTCTCAAAATACATTTTAAAAGTTAATATTTTAGAGAATATCCTATATAATAAAAAGGGAATATGCAAATTGACCATCACTCCGCCACAAAGATGGCAGCACCCACAGTGGAGGCCGAGTTCCTGTAACGAGCCTTAACGAGCAATCAGCAGGGACCTGAGGCTGTGCCCTCCTACCCCCACCGCTATGGGGCTTGACAGGGGACCTCAGGCCGTATCCCCCACCCTGGCGCCAAGCTGGGGGACCTCAGGCTGCTCTGCCAGCCCTGGTACCAGGCCGGGAGACCTCAGGCCGGGCCCCCACCCAGCAGGGCTTGACAGGGGACTTCAGGCCATGCCCCCGCCTGGCAGGGCTTGATGGGGGACCTCAAGGTGTGCCTCCTACCCTGGTGCTGACCGGGGGACCTCAGGCTGCACCCCCTGCCCAGTGGGGCTTGAAGGGGGACCTAGCCATGCTCCTTGCCCAGTGGGGCTTGACAGAGATCTCAGGCTGCACCCCCCACCTGGCAGGGCTCGACGGGGGACCTCAGGCACACCCCTACCCTGGCGGCAGGCCAGGGGACCTGAGGCTATGCCCCCCACCTAGCAGGGCTTGACAAGGGTGGCAGCAGCCAGGTCTGGTTCTATCCCAATGGAACCAGATTGATATGGATTGGATTTAAATTACTGCGGCCAGGTCTGGGTCTTGTGCAATTTTGAGGCACATGTGGGTGGGCGTGGACTTGACTCTGGGTCCCGTGGTATGCCCTAGACTCTGACAGGAGAAAGATTTTCATATATATTTTACTAATTTTATCTCATCTCTGACACTTCTATTATAGAGAAAGGGCAAACAGCAATATTAAAATATTCCCTCTAATTAATCCCCTCTTAATGTGCATGAATTTCATGTACTGTGCCACTAGTGTTTAAATATACATGCATAACCATCAACAAATTAAACAGTGTAAATAGACACACAATTACTTAATCTATATTTCTAAAAGTCTACATTTTTAAGTTCAACCTAAACCTTTTTTGGATCCCTTCCTTAGGGAAGTAGGAGAATGCCTTGCAGTGAAGAGCATCATGTAGTCACGCATATGCCTTATTTGCAGCCTCAGGTCTGAGACAGATTAAAGGTGTTGTGATGAAATACATCTCATTTAGCTAAAAGTTGGGAACCAGGGGTACTGGTGCGAGAAACATTGGCAAGGCAGAGGGAAGAGTAGCAAAAGTCTGTTGGGAAAAACATGTGGACATCAAGACAAGTGCCAAATAGTAACATTCCCGATGGTGTCTCAAGCTGGTGATTTGCATTGCTGGGCCCACTCTGCTGTGTCTATGCTTCCTACTTGTAGACACTGCATCCTATTCCTGTCTTCCATTCACCGCACCTTCAACCTTGCAAGACCTCTTCTGATCACATATGTGTTTACTCATGTTTTATTCAACAGTTAGTGAGCGGCTATTATGTACTTGATACTATGCTACTAGTATGTCCTGTAGTTCAAAAATGGTAAGACACTATTTTATCCAGAGCTCAGCATAACACCTGGCACTCCAGTGCTGCTCGGTGTGGCAGGACAAACAGAAAGGAAGGTGGGATTCAGGGAGGATGAGAAAGGATGGAGAGAGCAAGGAAGGGTCAGTCCCTCTTCCTCAAGGAGTCCCTGGCCAAGGGAATACCAGTGCTGGTGAAAAATATGAATGGGAGGCAAACTTTGTGCCATCCTGGATGCCCAGTTTTGTCAAACAGCAACAGACCCTGATGACTAAAACTTTTTTCTTTTTTTTTTTTTTTAGAGTCCCTTTTCTTGCTCATTTTATTACCTTGCTTTTCTTCTAGAGAAATCTCTTTAGTGGTGTCTGATCATTAGACATGATCATTTTCTCACTTTTGAGTTTTCTAACCACTTGATGACTTTTTGTTTATCTGCCTGCTCTAGCATGTGACTCCAACTTCCCCGAGACTGGCTGGCTGGCTTCATTAAGTAATTTGGGATCTGCCAGATAATAACATTGGAGTGATTCCTGCCAAATGACTCCCTCATATTTCAGCAATTAAAAATACAAATATCTGATGGCTGGGTTTTGCGTACACCAGAGGTTCTCAAGGTCTGGTCCTGAGACAAATATCCTTATCGTCAATAACATCTGGGAACTTGCTAGAAAAGCAAACTCATAGGCCTGGCCCCAGTTACTGAGTTAGAAACGCTGGGGACACCCTGTTTGTAACAAGCCCTCTCTGTGAGTCTGGTGCATGCCCACGTCTGAGCACAGTGGCTTAGAATAACACGCTTCCCTCCCTCTTCCCAAGACATGGCCGGTTTTACATCTCCACACCTCGCAGGCAGCCAGCCCTCTGCTTCCTTTAGTCTGTGGGAGAATCATCCTATTTTTGCCCTTTCTTCGGCCTTCCAGAGGCAGCTCAAGTGTAAGAGCCTTAGGAACCCCGGATATAGCTACTGGTTATTTAAGTATAATTGGCTCAAAATTTCTCAGCATTCATTTTGTGAATTTGGAAAATGCAGAGAAGTTTGAAAATGAAAATAAAATGGAAACTGTAATCTTTCTGCTGAATAGTAACCACTGCATACATATATGTAGCTTCTTTGAATTATTGTTTTTAGAAAATCTTAAAAGCACACATAAGGCTGGTCCGAGTGCAGTGGTATCTACAATTAAAAGCACACATAAGATAGATTAATATAATAAACTTGAACTACTATCTTTAATTCAGAGTGTAAGCATTTTGTCAGTTTTTATGTTTATTTTTTAAACTTAATGACTTAGAAAACATTACAGATAAAGTTAAATACTATTTCTCATCCCTATCCTAATTCCCTTTTTAGTCTCATTCCTCTCCCTCCCACCTTAGAGGCCACCACCATCATGATTCTGATGGTATCACACACACACACACACACACACACACACACACAGGGAGAAACAATATTTGGTATTGTTATATGTATTTTAAAATTTTATGTAAATATTACTATATATATATCATTTGGTCACTTGCTTTATAAAATTCAACATTATTTTGAGAGCTACCTTTATTGAGATATATCGATCTATTTCTCTTGCAGATATATTGATCCAATTCATTAATATTTAACATTTGAATAGCATTTTATCATATGATTATACAACTACTTATCTATAGGTATATCAATCATATTAATGTTCGGTTGGAGGGTCTGCAAATTTTCAACTTCACAGGCATTGCCAAATTACTCTCCAAAGTAGTTGCACTGATTTCAATTTTTTTTCTATGTATAAATGTGTCTTTTTGCTTTCAACATTGAGTAATTACCACTTTGGTATTAAATATTTTTCTAAAATATGGCTTTTAAATGCTGGATGGAATTTTCTTGGATGATTGTATATAATTATTTAATTATATAGATTTTTCTCCTAAATCCTCACAATTAAAAATAAATCTGATGTAAATATTCCTGTGCATAAATCTCTGGCCATTTTGATAATTCACTTAGAATTATTTGTTAAAATAAGAATTGCACAATTTTAGGACCCTTCATAAATTTCAGAATATTGCCAGGAGGGTAATTTTAGGAAAGCACTTCAAGTCATATTTCTCAGACTTCTGACACCCATACATGCCCTCTTCTGCTAAATATCAAAATCTATTCTTTGTGTCTCTAAGATTTTGATAAGTTTATCTTCCATATAAACCCATCATTCAAGGTTTAGTCAAGTTTTATTTTTGTAGTTTGTATTATAAAAACATAG